TAGGATATATCTTTACTGTGTCTGCTGGCCTGGAAAATAAATACCGCTGTTGTGCAACTCTGCAGCTGCTCACTCTCTCAATTTGTTGTTTTCGTTCTGGTTTTTATGATTTAATCTCATATCCTTACAGTTAATCTGAAAAGGGTTCCGGCAGCTTTATTTATTAGTCTTCCTTCAGATCATGAGCTTACAGATCATGATCTTTTCCTATACCAAGAACCAATTCTCTTTTTGTGACAAGGCTCACCCTCTAATAGATGCAGCAGGAATAAATTGACTCATGACACTTGAAAATTAACATTCTCACAATATTTTCACTTTCTTTTTTTTTTCATTGAACCTCATGAAAAATATCCCTGAGAAAGTTTTTCTTCCACTAATATAATGCATGAAAAATATATATTGTAAAATAAAAGTCATTATTTTCAAATTTTGAAGAACATTTTGGATTCATAAAATACAGATTAGAGAAAATAATGATAATTTTTTAAAACCCAGGAATATTCACATCTATCTGAACTACATAACACTATTTCAGGATATATATTAATAGCTGTGTCATCGTAACCTTGCTTTGGGAAGATGCATGAGTTGTTTACTACTTTTAGAGAGCTATGTATATGTAGAGAATAAAGGTTTGTGAATCAACACCTCTGGAATGTCACAAAATATTTAAAGTTTAAAACATTGAGTTCATATGTGGAAAATTTCCTGAAATACCTTTACAATTTATCCTACTGAGAGCAAGAAAAATAATTATTTTAAAAGCTTAGTATGGCAACACCACATCAATTCAGGCAAACAGAATGACAAATAAAAGAGCTTCATATCAGCACTAGGTTCCTTGTTCCTCAGATTTTAATTTTAGGATGTTGTACACATTTTAATAGGACATTATAAACATAGGCTTTGGAATGAAGAAACCAATCATTTCACAAGCTGATTGCCTGCTGCAGAATGATCGGGGGAAAAAAATGAATATGTCTGTTCAAATTATTTTCCTGCTAGAAATAAAACACATATTGTATGATGAGTAGTGTAGATCTTGGGAAAAATAGACTCTATGAAAGATCTTGATGAAAATAAAATAAAATCAAACCCCTTTGCCTAATCCAGAATTAACGTGAAACTGCAAATCAAAGAACTGCAGCTACAAATCTACCATCTGTGCTCAGCAGACCTCAGAATAGACCTTCTGAGTCTGTGGATTACTTAAAATAATATTTCACATTTCTTGGATTCACATCATTTTGCAGTTTTCAGGGAAGCTAGTGTTACACGGTATCAGCATTCAGACAACCTGCACACAAGGTTAAGTCTGAAAATCACTATATATGATTACAGTTCAACCGTGCTTCGCTCGAAAGCTCCACGTGGGACAAATTCCATTAGTCTCACCACAAACAATGTCAAATACACCATGGCCATTTAGTGAATCATACAATGTGCCTGCTGCCCCTGCCTTACTCACAGGTTTTCTACATAAAAAGCAGTAAAAGCACCATAGGCCAGATGGTAAATACTGTGGTAAAGGATTTAAACTGAAAGAGGGTAGATTTAGGCTAGATAGAAGAAAATCTTTACTGTGAGGGTAGTAAGGCACGGGAGCAGGATGACCAGAAAAGCTGTGGATGCCCCATCTCTGGAAATGTTCAAGGCCAGGCTGGATGGGGCTTTGAGCAGAGGTCCAGTGGAAGGTGCCCTTGCCAATGGCAGGTGGGGTGGATCTAGATGATTTTAAGGTTGCAGTCTAAGTCATGCTATGATTCCATTATATGAACTACAAAAAAAAAGTAATGAAAAACTGTTCTGCTATTGGTAAGTACAACTTACTTCTGAATGGTTTTCTTTATTTACTTTTTTCTGTAATGGATCCAATATAAGAAACATGTCCTTGTAGAATGTGCAATCCAAAATTATCCCAGGCTTCTTCAGGCAACAAATTACAGATCATTCAGAGAAGATCTATAATCACGTACCTGTCTATCTGTCTAAACAGACTGGGATCTATCCATTGCAAATGGGACTGTTGCTTACATCAAGGAAACAGAATACTAGTCTAATGGTTGAAACAATAAAATTTTAATGAAGAATAATACTAGTAAAGAAAACAGGAAAAAAATATGGTGAGTACTACTCGAGGATGGAAAAATAAAAAAGCACAACCTGAAAAGACACAGTAAGGAATGAGACAGAAAGGACATTGATGATCTTGAGATTAGAGGAGTGAATGTTGCCCTTTACTCTGTGACCAACATGTCTCCAGATGACCAAGATAAGACATATGATACTTGATTTAAAGAACTTCTAAGCAATGATTGCTTCAACACCCATGGAAGCTACAGAAAGAGCTACAATCATTTGACAAAAAAGAAAATATTTTACCTTTCTATTCAAATCATAACCTAAATGTATAAAGTCTTAGCAATACATTTCTTTTCATAAGTGGTTATTGTTTTTAACATTGTAAATTATTTTTTCTGTCAAAACTAACGTCTTTAGGATGAAAAATAAGAGAAAATATAGTTCTCACTTTCTACTTACTTCCATTACCATCATGTTGCAAGGCAAGCAACAACCATTTCTAAATACTTGAGACTTTTTTGTCCATTTCCTTATTATTATGGACATTTTGAATGGCCAACTTTTTCTCAAGGAATTCCTTCATGTAGACAAATGGTCTAACATACTAGTCAGTGGCTCAATTTCTGCAGACACCTAGTTTAAGAATAGAAAATGTCTCCCCTTCCTCCTTCTTCACCCTACTTTATTTACTGAGCATGATGTCACACGGTCTGGAATATCCCTTTGGTCCGTTTGGGTCACCTGTCCCATCTCAGGACAGGGGTTGTCCCCTCCCAACCTCCCATGCACCCCCAACTTCCTCACCAGGGTGGCAGTACAGGAAGCAGAAAATGCCCTGGTTCTGTGTAAGCCCTGCTCAGCAATAGCAAAAACATCTCTGTGATCAACCCTGTGTTCAGCACAAATCCAAAACACAGCCCCATACCAGCCACTGTGAAGAAAATTAACACTACCCCAGCCAAAACCAACACAAATGGTAAGCCTTTCTGGTATTATTGATGAGAATAGCAATGGCACCACAGCACAGAGATCCACACTTAAAGGCTCTCCCCACCATTGAATTCTGGGGTATTCTTTCTCAGACCTGTTGATATTCTCCTCTAAAAGCCCATTTGACCAGTAAGGCTTTGAAGGCACATCAGAGAGGAATTTCTTCATTAGGTCCAGAAAAAACAGTTGATGTGAGGAACATGAAGGAATGAAATTATTCAGAAAGCCCTCTATTCTTCAGTAGCATATAATATATATCCTATTATGAACATACTTGTATATGTTAATTAGGGAACATCAGTATTATTATCCAAATAAAACATGAAGAGGCTAATGACTGAAAAACACTATCTGAACTTCAATAATATATCAAGTAGAAGTGATCAATATCAGTGAAATAGTTTCAATTTCAGGCACACAGACTACATTCTTCCTGATGGAAAATATTACTCTATACTGTCCATGTTTATCATTTAACTCTACTTAGGGTAAGTGCATATCATGTATCTCAATTATATATTTATGTATCACTCTCTCCCTCCATATTTCTGCATGCATATAATATAAAAACACTTTCAGAGTTAAGTTGTTGCTGCTACCAAGGGATTGAGACTTTTTTATTATCACGTTATCTGTTATACCAACTTCGTGGCAAAATTAAGGGGAAAAAAATAACCATAAGAAAATCAGTTTGTCTCTCCTGCTCTCCATTTTCAGGCTAGGGTGCCAGTTGTGTTTTTCAGAGACTACACATGTAACTGATGAGTACTCAGGACAACTAAATACTGAACCCAACAGCCAAAATCAGAGTAAACAGCAATAGACAGAAGAAGTTAAACAAAAAAGGTTTGATTAATTACATTCCGTTTGCTCTCATATGAGACCAAAAACAGGAAATAAAATATGGTGGAATACATGAGATGAGGAAAATGGAAAACTATTTTAGTATACTAAATGTAAAACATACTATATACATCTCACTTGTTTCAAGCTCTCAGAATAAATGCTGTAATGAGGTCATATCTGGGCAGCAGAGAAAAGCTGCCAGATTATACTGTGCTGGCTGCCAAATTCCAAGGCAGCTGGAGGTCTCTCACACACACGTGAGGATATAATTTCCATGGAAACACCTGAGCAATCTCACTCTCATCTTTCCCTTCCCACCATACTTAAAGTTCTATACCAGTGTTGTTTATGAAAATATTAAATTCGTTCAATGAAATAATTTTTATTTTTGTGCTCCCGTAAAACCTGGCCTCTGTGGTTGAGTTTTCTTGTGCCTTTTGGTACAATCACATCAAAAAAAAAGGGACGAAGTTCCTGCTTCTCTGGCTAAACCGACTCTTACCACATTAGCACTGATAGTTACAGTTCCAAATAACACAAGTAATACTAAAGTAAACCAAGGACAGAAAAAATATTTATACTACTGACAGCAACTAACAACAAGAAACTGAGAAACCGTGAAAAGGCTCAGGTGATTACAGAAAGATTTCACCGTCCTCAATACTATATACTGCAAGCACAACCCAATGTTTTAATTCAGTAGTCTGAACAGATGTTGTCTTCCATTAATCTGCCTTTTTGAGTCCTATTTTGGGTTTCCTATAGAGTTAGCGACCACAAAGAAATATGGTAACATTCTGCAAAGAACAATGACTATACAAAGTTGCAAGCACATGGACAAACTCTGTCAAACTGCAACTGTCATGTCCCACATTTTTTCAGTGAGAAGGAATGAAGAGCACACACTGGCTATGACTATCTGAAACCAACAAAAGACTTCTCAGTGCTGCTTCAAAACACCTAGTGTGTATTTTATACACTACAGGAAAAAAAACAAGACAAAATTTTAAAAGCCAAAATCAAATCTGTAGCATAAATTCATCAGCTCTTATCAGGATAATCAATAAATACTTTCTTACCTGTCTGATGTGTCACTTGTCACTTGATGCTTTACTGTTGAACCATTCTTAATGGAGTCTTGTCTTGTGAGCCCTTGAGATCTGTTTTTGTCCAAAGCTTGTGTGGATATGTCACCTGGTGGTCCTTGGTACTGCGGATGCTCCTGCAGTTTTGCTTTTTTCTCTTGAGGTGCTTCCTCGTTCCTCAGAGCTCTAATTCCTTCTTGGTCTGGCTGCTGTGGTGCGTGTGATCCACTGTTATAGAACCAGGCTCCTGATTTTGTGAGGATTTCTTGTTGTTTTCGGCACAAGTTACATACCCACATTACCTGTTCAGACATATTTAAATGTAAAATCCGTTAGCTTGTAAACACTGAATACAATGTTTTCAGCAAGCACACATCAAATAGCTGTTACCATTTCCAAAGGTAGAAAGACTACAGTTTGAATTCTATTAAAATCACAGTATCTTAGCTAGAATACAATGAAATATGTCTGTACAACCTTGGAGTAACTAGTTTTGGGGGGAAAAAAACAAACAAAAATACTTTCAGTCTTTTTTTTCATTATTTGTAATACAAGGAAAAAACATATAGTAGCAATATAAATGAAAATGTTCTAATACTGAGGTTCCAATGATAATAACTGTAAACTTTGAAAATTAGCACTATAATTTGAGGATGATAGAAAAAATGAACTAAAAAAATCATTGAACTTTTAATCCATTTTCATTCTCTCACTAAGAATAAGGAACTTTAGAAAAGATCATCTGCTGTTGCAAACAAGTAATTTTATAATTCTCCAAAATGCTCTGCTGATTTACTTCCTGGTGGTCTATATCTAATGCTTACATGAAGATGCTGACTTCAAGAAGTGACTTCAATTTCAGAGTAATTTTAAATTAAAGCCATTTTATAACTATAATAACACAATTTATAAGGTGGTGTTTCTCTCCACTTCACACCCGCAACTTAGCTTTCACTATATGCCTACTAAATTATTAAAATTATTACAGCTTCCCAGTTGTGTGATCCTGCATATAATAATGAGATTTTTTTTTTATATTCTAAGAAGGCACTTCTTTGCAAAGCTTTTGTATCTGATCACCTTAGTCACATGGCAGTTCAGGAAATCAACACCAACTATCTGTAAGTTAATTTCATAATAGCATTCAGTTATTATTTTGCATGAGAATAAATCAATGCAGTGAATCAAATACATCAGTCACGAACACATTGGGCCATTCAAACTGATTATTGTGTTACCGTAAAATTTGGATTGTAGGTAGTATTAATTCACTGCAAGTTTCATCCTTCACTCCTTAATATTCATTTTTCTTAAGCCTTAGCTTCCTTTTATTTTTCTTTCTCTTCCCTTTATATATTTTTGTCTGAGTTCACAGACAAAATTGTACCAGTTTTACTATATGTTCCTTGAATGTCTGTGCTCAGCCTTCAATCTAGTTATCACGTCTCTAGTCTAATCCTACAGCAAGCTGCCTTTTTTCCAATGGTTCAGAGTACAGGACATGCAAAAGCTTACATCAATGTTCATCACTCTTAAATGCAGCCAGCTCCATGGAATCACATGGAAGATGTCGTTTCTACCTCCACAATACATCTAGCTCAGTCCTCCAGAACGTTTCAGAAGTTGCAATCTGTATCTTGCTCTCATTCTTCAGGCTATTATCTAGTGGATAATTTGGGCCATGCTCTCTAGTCAAGTCTCACAACAATCTTTCAACAACAGGTTCATATAGAAGGCTACATGGATGCAAGGTCCATGCCCAAACTAAAGTCACCAATTGCCTCAATCCAAAATGTCAGGCTGGGGCAGGTAAAGGAGGCGTCACTTGCCCAATTTAATGGTGGTGTTATGCCCCATCCTAGTAAACTTCCTTCTTATCTTTTTAAAGGGCTGATATAATTTATGAGAACTCATGTCTGCTTACATCAACAAGACAGAACAAACAACCAAGGCACCGAGGGGAAAAAAAAAAAGAGACTCCATGAGTAGCAGCTTGCTCTCTGAGGTACAATAGATGTCCATAGAGGACGTTCAAAGGTCAAAACTGCATCTGCTTCAGGCCTGGACATCATTCAAATACACATGTAAGAACTGGTCTGCTTTACCTTTGCTAAGTAAGTTAGAAAGTACATGAGAAAGCATCAAAGTGAAATTTCAGAACCCAAGACAGAAATATTTTTGCCTCTTAAATCTATAGAAATAAAAAAGCTTTAATATTTCTCCTAGGTCTGTACCCAGCTGAAAGGAGTTCTAAACTTTCGATGGATGTGTCAGAGCAATGAAAGGACCAGATGTGAAACAATTATGTAAGTATACAAATATATAACAACTTGAATGACAATGAGATAAAATCCCCTGAAGTTCTCATTTGCTATTTTCACTTTTTTTAGTAGATGTTAAAATATCACAAAAACTAGATACTACCGTCAAAACACATGGGCAACTATTTCTTTGGCTGACAGTCATGATTTTGTCCCCAGACAATAATAGATTCCAGGATAACCAGCATTATTCTCTTGTACCCAACAGAATAAAAGAGTTCCCTCTGAATTAATATGATTTCCTATCACCTCCTCTAAAAGTAGAATCAGGAAGAGTACTCCTGACCTAACCTTATTCCTGAGAAGTTTATTTGGGGTATTTCAGATTGGAAAAAAAAAAAAACAAAAAACAAAAAAAAAACCACATGGCACATGCATAGATTTATGAATTTCGCAGATTTTTTTTCTGCTTTTTAGGAGCATTTAATGATAATTACAGGCCACATTTCAGATAAAGCTTTATTTCCAACATAACTTCAACATGCAGGATTTCATAGTCTTAACCCTAACAATTTTAGCTTCAAATAATCACACACAGTGAGAAGAATGGGAACTGTCACACAGAAATGTTTGTGCTTTCAGAGAGCACAAAAATTACAAGCCTTCAAATACTACTGGGCAAAATTGCCTTCCCCATCTTATCGCAGCATGTAGAAGCACTCTTGAAATTTAAACAATACTGCTAATTCGCAGTGCAGATCTCTCAATTAAATGACAGACGCTCTTGTAAGATGGTGTCATGAGAGCACAGAGAGGAAGGTGCCATGTTCTTGGACAGGATTTCTCCTTCTGCCCCCGGGAGCCCGGGACAGAGCACTCAGCAGCTCAGACACATGCAGAGCAGGACAGAGCCTTTACTGGGACTGTGACAACAGCACTGCAGAGAAGCAAAGACCACACGAGTGGACCCCATGCTCAGTACATGCATTTTGACAAACCTGCAAGGTGAAATCAGAATTTTCTCTTCTTAAACAGAAATAAAAAAGGACTAACCTCTTACATCAGAAATCTGCACTCCAGGGTAGGCACACTATCTACTACACACATTTGCATCTCTCCTAACCACCCTCCGAAAAACAGTCATGAGCACATTTTGTACACAAAAACCAGCGTTGCAATTTGTGGGTGTCAATCCTCCACACGAGAACACTGCCAATTTGTAAAGAAAAATATGGGGGAAAGCTCCTCTCCAGCGTTAAGTACTAGTTCAAAACTAGAATCCCAGGTGCTAGTGGCAGTGGATCGGGATGTGCTTTTCCATAGCAAAGGCTGAAACACCACCTAGTGCATACAACGGGCATTGCTGAAGTTCAGTTCAAATCAGCTTCTCACTGCTGAAAAGAATGCACTAAACATACCTGACATTTTCACATTTTCCCTTATATCCATTTTTTTCAAAGGATAATTTCCTTTTTTTATATACAACACTGAAAAGAAGTATTCCAAATTCGGATTAGACAGATTTACCTTAAACCTTCCATCTGCTTTCCATTCTCAAAGGTTAGTTCTATACAGTGAACTAGTAAGTTCTAACTCATTTTTGATTTCTTCACTACTTCTAGCAAGATTATTCATAATATGCTCCCGCTTCTAACACTGCCCAGCAGCTTTCATCACATATTATTATCACTTATTAGTATATGGGCCCATAAAATAAATTCTGCAAAACCTAAAGTAATCAGCCATTTCACATCTACATATCAGAATAAAAAATATACTTCTTTGTATTGTCCTAAAAAATATACTAAATTTTTTGTTCTTAGATAAAATTCTTCAAAACATAACACTAAATCCTGAGAAGAAAATGGAAACCTTATTTTATTTAAGATTAGATTAAAAGACTCAGTGTATTTTATTACACATAAGCTTGAGTTTGATAGCTTTGACACTACAACCTAAGAAATAATTACACCAAATCCTCAACAGTCTTTAGAGCATTACTTCGAATTACAGGTGTGCTGAGGTAATGGAAGGCTTCTATTTCAGCAGTATTTCAGCAAATCTATTAGAGTTCACCTGCTTGGCAGGAGCATCTAATATATGTTAGCATAATATTAACTGCTGTGCTTGCTGCTAGTAATCTTAAGTAAATTTAATATGGTTTTGTTCGTTTTTTGGCTCTCACATTTCATGTAGGATACAATTCTTAAAAATTATATAAGGTAATAAGACTACAGCACTGAAAAAAAGGAAGAGTAGAAAAACTCTGCTTGGGTCATCAAGGTAACTAATCATGATTACAAACACATTACTGCTAGTCCTTTTTTTTCTCTAATTTGTCACTGGTTCAAAACTTCATTACATCATGGAGCAGTGCAGTGTTTGAAGCCACCCTGTAACTATAAGGAAGTTTCTTCAGGGACGTAGTACATCTCTCCATTAGTCACTATATTGATGACAGATTCTCAGAGTCATTAGGGTTGGAAGGGGCCTCTGGAGATCACCCAGTCCAAGCCCTCTGCCAAGGCAGGGTCATCCGGAGCAGGTGACACAGGAATGTGTCCAGGTGGGCTTGGAATGTCTCCAGAGAGGAAGCAATATGCCTGGGCAGTCTGCCACCCTGCATGTTAATAAGTTCTTCCTCATGTTGAAGTGGAACTCCTTGTATTTTCGTTTGTGGCTGTTGCTCCTTATCCTGTCACTGGGCACCACCCAAAAGAGTCCACACGACAATGCGGAACAGACACCGCCAAACCAGCCCTGCACCCAGTAACGTGAGCCACCTGCCTCTGTGCAGTCACAGAAACTACAATTTACTGCAGCAAATCTGTGCATCCTCGGGGAATACAGACCCAGCATCAGGAGAGGTCAATGCTATCCCTGCTTACCTCTAGTCCCTGTTTCTGCTAATCTTTTCTCATTTTGCCTATTTGAAATGTAACGTTTCCAAGGAACTATAAGCTGAATAAGTGAGCGTCCTGGGTTTGGGACTGTGAGGATCCCTTTGAACATCATCTCCCCAGAAAATGAGATGGAACTGC